CCGCCTAGCCCTTGCGCCCGCGCGGCTCGGGCTCGGGCTCGTTTTTTTACGCGCCCGAGCGGCTCGTGGGCGTGAACAGTACGAGCCGACGAGCCGCTCGGACCATATCATCACAACAAGCAATTTCGCTACATCATTTACAATTTAATTATAAATCATATCAGACCGAAGCGTATAGTTTATAGTAATAGTAACATGGATTCAAGGACAAGTTTTTATATATCCCATGATTTAAAGTTTAAGCATAAACGCAAATACCTGATTGTAGAGGTAGTAAAGCTTTCCAACCCAGAAAAGATCTGAGATGAACTTTGTTAACCACACTTTAGCAATTGCATCACTAAACTCGTGCTTTAGTAGTTGAGGTTCCTCTGTTAAGGATAAAATTTCACATTGAATAAAGATGAAAAATATAGACCAATTTATAAAGGATTGGATTACTACTCTTAACAAGGTTGACATTTTAAAATATAACCCAAAATCTTAACATGGTATCAGAATCTTTAAGCTCCACGAGCAATTTGATCCAATTCAGACTAAAAAATGAGCACGAATTTCAACATTTTTTTGCTCAAATAAGCCACAATTTGTGGGGGGAATGTGAAGAGATAAAATCTCACATCGAATAAAAATGAAAAATAGACCAATTTATAAAGAATTTGATTACTCATTTTAACAAGGTTAACATTTTAAGATGGAATCTCAAATCTTAACACCCTCCAACTGTGTGACATGCAAAGACACTATAAAAGTCATAAGTAAGGAGTAGAATCGAAGAAGGGAGGATATAAGAAACATTATATTAGGAAAAGAACATCCCCATTTATGGGCCATGACTCACGATGATGGCAGGTGGAATACATAACTCATGTTTGACACATTCTTTAAAATACATTCTTTTAAAACTCATTTTCAACCACACATTCTTCAAAAGAATAATATTTTTCATCACATCAATAATTTTTCCTTACTTTTTAACCACGTATTTTCCGTCATATCACTATTTAAAATACTTCTTTCCTCAATAATATACATCAAACACACCCATACAATGAGCACGATGATAGAAATCTAGCCGCATATGTACTATCAATTTCTGTATATAAAAGAAGCATTAAATAGAGACAAATAGCCCCAGTGTATGAATGCAGATTGCACTTTGCCTATTAACATCTTTCCTAACATCAAGATAAAATGAAGATCTAATAAAATGTGCATCACGCAATTAACCATAGCTTTCTTTGAATATATGCTCCCCGTAAGTGAAGAAGATATTGGAAAGCATAGCACTAATGAAGTCAATCCAGTTGAAAGACAACTCAGTCAATAATGCCATATATACACCTCCATTTTATGCATACAGTTGATCTACGGAGGGTGGTTAAAATTACAATTATTATGGTGCATATTTCCGTGTACTAAAAGATGTCATTTATGCAAGTATGTAAACGAATCATCCACCAAAAAAAAAAGATTAGTCTATAGAAAATGTATAGCTAAATTTGACGCTTTCTAAAAAGTCCTATTTATTGACCATTGTGAAAGTGAAGTACAATGTTCTCTAAGATACAAACATTCACAAGTAGCTGTGACACTTGATGAATAAATTTTCTTAATTTTAAACTTAGAACAATAGTATTGTTTACCAATAACAACTGGTGCTAGTGACACTACAACAAAAACAGCATACTGCAGCGTTTAGACGTGTGTTGCAAATCGAAGTGTAGTCATAGAGTAGAGAGATACGGCAACGGCAACATTTTTTGAATGTTACCGAAAGTCTTCCGCAACGTTTAAAAAACGTTGCCGCTACAACAACGTTTGGTAAATGTTGCGAAAATCACCCTACGGCAACGTTCGGCAAATGATGCCGTAGGTTTTTTTTTTTTTTTTTTAACAACAATTTTATGCAAATAGATTGGCAAAATTNGACAGTCTTTTGCAATCTTTTGCAACGTTTGCCAAACGTTTCTGTAGGGTGGGTTTTTTTTTTGTTTACAACAACTTATGCAAATAGATTGGCAAAATTGAAAATGCAACTTATAAACAAATTTTGGAATTGCATAAAAATTGATAATTTCATTACAAATTTTTTAATCCACACACTTGAACATTAGAATGGGATACCACTAGAAGATGATGAATCACTGTTGGAATTGCTAAAACTAATTAAGCTAACTACTGGCATTGCCTTGATCTCCACCTCCACTTTCACTGCCTTCATCATTCTCGATCTTGATGGGAGGAAAGCTTGTCACAGGCATATTATCTTCAATATCCTCATTCTTTTTTCAACTTCTTTCCTATGTCATTTCCCTTAATTCGCCCTATGAAAATCAACACAAAAATCATTGCTCCTAGAACCAATCACAAAATGCAGTAGATAACCGTTTTGTCATTGCACATTAGAAAAATATAGTGTTGCATTAAGCATTACCATGTCATTCATGTGCATTGTTTGTGGTTGGAGCAGTAGCTTCAGTAGCAATAGAAAGGAACAAAACATGAGTGATAGCATGAAAGGGTATATGACTGACCAGAGTCTTTTCCTTTGTCCCTCGAACGGTGGCCCCTTTCCTTGACTTTATCTGTGTCCCTTTCAGTATTCTCCCGTCCCCGTCCCCTGTCAGATTCTCGTCCTCTATCGTGGTCTCTGCTCTTTGTTCTCTCTTTCTCCCTCATTCTCTCCCTATCCCTGTCCCTGTCCCTGTCTTTGTCTCTTCCCTTGCTTTCACCACCAGTCTCTGTTCTATGATCAGACATCAATTTGGACTCCGGATATTCTCTTGATTCTCCACCAGTAGGCATGCTTTTACAGTCATCATCACTCTTCTTCAACTCCTTCAGCTTGTCAAGGGCGGCATTTACTACTAAATCCTTACCCAGTTCCTGATTTGCAGCTGAAAAGGACCTTTTTGCAGTAGTGCTATCTTCATTTAAGTCTGGTCCAGTCAGGGAACCATCTTGAAGAAAAAACAAAGCATAGGGCAAAAAACAAATTAGAACTTACCCAGATATTCCCATCAGAAGCAATATTTTTTGCCACTTTTTAGTTCATCGCTACATATATGAAAATTCTAAAAGAAAAGAGTTTTAACCAACACAAGCCACGTGCCTTTAGTGTATCAGGCCATAAGGTTGTTGTAGCTGTCATATTAAACCCTTGGACTCAGTGGCGGACCCAGCATCCGGCGAGCCCCGACGACCACGAGTGCTGGGTTCGCCGAAACAGTTTTTTTTTTGGACAATGAATAAATATTTCAAATTATATATCTGGTATGTTCTTTTTAACATTCATTTATTGTAGCTCAGCTGGCTACAACTTGTATATTTACCCTAGAGGTCCGAGTTTCGAATCCTTTTGCTAGAAATTTTATTTGAAATATGTTTAATTCTACAATTTTTGCCAAAATTAAATGGAACAAAGGATGGGATTCGAACCAGCAACCTCTCAGTAAAATATCAGGGCTTGACCATTGAGCCACTCATGAAATTTGATATTAAGTTTACAAGAATAATATATTATATACATTAGCGGTTTTAATGCAATTGTAAAAATTCAAACCCCTTACACTTAGGCACCGTTTGGTAGCCATTACTCTAGAAAAAAATGCATTTTTTGTGGCAAATCACACCTTTTTTGNCAACAAAATTATATATGTTTAGTTTAAATAAAATAATTGTTATATTTAAATTACAGACATCGTTTGATTTTACTTTTTTTCAAAATACATTTTTCTCTCTTCTTTCAACTGCAGATTTTTCAATAAAATAATATTAAATGCAAATTCAAAATTTTTCCTTATTTTTAACAACACGTTCTCCATCAAATCACTATTCTAAAATGCATATTTTGCAAAAAAAAAACATAAAATAAAAAATGGGTATCAAACGGGGCTCTTAATATTTTATTGTCGACAATGGTCGATGATCCACGATCCCTCGTGCTGACTCAAAATCCTGGGTCCGCCACTGCGTGGACTAATTAAGAATTAATTTGATTTTCGATCGAAATCTAGGAGGGTGGTGAGTACAATTGAACAAACTTTAGACTTCCAAGATTTGCATGTTCACAATTACATGTACCTTTCCATGTTAATTATATAAAGCATGCTAAAAGACAGGGAACAAAATGATTATTCACATAGATCTAGGCACTATAATCATCAGACAAACATAGCTATACATGCATTAGTACACACATATATAGATGTCTTAAAAGTTAAATGTGCTTGGGTGCATGGTATGAAAAAACCCTGCTGAGACCCGCCTTGAGGTCCGCCTCACTGTGAGGTGCAGCTTCTGTGCCTCGAGGCTCCATCTGTGAGGCAAAAAAAATGAGGCGCACTCCTTTACATCTGAGGCAAAAAAAAATGAGGCGTACGCCTCATTTGAAGTATTTTTTTTTTAGGTTTTTGAAAATGAA